ATGAGACCTCTCTGTGACCTTCCTGATTTGGTTGAACCTACAGTATAGCTCCAGGGGATCCCATCGCTAAGCACGACATGTTTCAACACGCCATAGCAACGCTCGTCGGGTCTATGTCTTCCTGGGTACTGCCGGAACGTACCCTGGGTACGGTTCGGTATACCAGAACGTACCCTGGTACTATCTAATATGCCGGACCGTATCTCGCCTACTCCACTAACGAGTCTAGGGTGTCGCCTACGCCTACTCCCTAACCCTAACCCCTAACCCTAACCCTAACCCTAACCATATCAGATAGTTACCAGAGTACGTTCCGGCAGTACCCAGGGAGACATAGACCCTTTCAGGGTTGCTATGGTGTGTTGAAACATGGCGTGCTTAGCGATGGGATCCCCTGGAGCTATACTGTAGGTTCAACCAAATCAGGAAGGTCACAGGGAGGTCTCATTTGAAATTAATAGTGCTCATCGGCGGTTCTGTGATGTCAACTCGGCAACAGTCCCGGCAAACGGCAGTTCTGTGCAGTCAATACGACGACAGCTCTGGCAACCGGCAGTTCTGTTCTTGTCAACTCGGCAGCGGTTCTGGCAATCAAGCAACAAGATTTCTCTGCGGCTGTCTCAGCTAAGCTGTGCCATTGATCAACAGGACTTCTTGCCAAAGGACGCTATCCTGCGCCATGTAGCGTCGTCATCGTAGGCGAAGCCTTGCAGTTTAATAATGACAGTACAGTTCAGAGAAGGAGATATGGTTGCCGCATTCAGGGTAACCGATGCGCCACAACATACGGCAGTGGTGGCAAGTGGGCGAAGACCGTATAATGCGACCGCGTCCGGGGCAACCGACGGCCAACCTACAATCCACAACGTTAAAACCCCCAGAAGACATCCTCTCATTCTTGGCGCTTGGAATGTACGTACCTCTAATGATAGTGATAATTCAATCAGACCAGAACGTGCAACAGCTATCATCTGCAGAGAATTAGAGAAAGCATGTATTGATATCTGTGCGCTCAGTGAAGTGCGACGTCCCGGCTCAGGCAATATCGTTGAAAGAAGTCACACAATCTACTGGAGTGGAGGAAAAGAGAAAGCAGCAGGTGTTGGTTTTGCCATCTCCAACAAACTAGCTCCTCAAGGTATCAATCCGATACCAATCAATGACAGGCTTATGTCAGTGCGCATACAGTTGAAGAGTGGCGAACACCTTACACTTATCAGCGTATATGCACCAACTATGCAAAGAACACATGAAGACAAAGAACAGTTTTACGAGCGGCTTGGCACTTGCATTACAGCAGCTAAAGATGACAACATCATAGTTCTAGGTGATCTTAATGCTCGTGTTGGCATAGACTGGAAATTGTGGCCATCTGTCATCGGTAAACACAACACGGCGTTGGTAGTATGAATTCAAATGGACCAATGCTATTAGAGTTCTGTACCAGATTTCAGCTTACAATCATGGGTACAATGTTTCAACTTAAAGAGAGCCTGAAGAACACATGTCAGCACTTGCAGTCAACACACTGGCATCAGATTGACCATGTACTAGCAAATCAAGCTGCAAAGCAACATGTCATAGTGACCTAAGTCACTCAAACAGCAGTCTGCTTCACTGATCACAAGTTGATTGTTTGTCATTTCTCCATAAAGCCAAAGAAGAAGGGCACAAAGCTTCCCAAAAAGCTTGACACTGGCCTCAACAATGAAAGAAAAGAAATGCTGGAACAGTTCTTGAATGAAAAATTGTCTGATTGCAAAGAACTTTGGGAAGAATTCAGAGAAGTGCTTCAAAATGCAGCCAAACACGTATTTGGAAAGAAAGAAAAGAAACAGAATTACTGGTTTGACGAGCAGGATGGAGAAATCAGAGAGCTGCTTCAAAACAAGAAACTGAACAGGAATGCTCTTAGAGAGCTAAAGAATGACTGGTTCCAGCGAAAAGCTGAAGAAGCAGAGATTTTTTTCACAGAAAAATAACCATAGAGAATTTTATGCCACTCTTAATGCTGTCTACGGTCCAAGAACTAAAAGCTCCCATCCTGTTAGATCAAAAGGTGGCGAGCTCCTGGCTTCACCAGATAGCATCAAAGACAGATGGGTAGAGCATTTCAGTGATTTTCTGAATCAACCAACTGATGTTGATTTAAGCATCTTGGATGCCATAGAGGAACATCCAATTATTGCATCCTTCGATGGTCCAATTTCTAGAAGAAGAGCTAGATAAATCTCTCAAGAACACCACATTAGGAAAAAGTCCGGGCCCTGATGGAATACTCCCTGAAGTTCTTGTGCATGGCGGCGCTCATTTGAGAGCTTTCCTACTTGTACTCTTTCACATCTTCTGGACAACAGAGGAGATTTCCTCTGACTTGATTGATCCTAACATCACCATCCTGTTCAAGAAAGGTGACAGAAGTCAGTGCGGCAATTATAAAGGTATATCACTTCTAAGCGTAGTTGGTAAAGTCCTAGCAGACGTCATCTTGCAGAGACTACATCACCTTGCAGATAAGATATACCCACAATCTCAGTCAGGATACCGCAGGGGCAGAAGTACTGTGGATGGAATCTTCACCCTTCGACAAGTAATGGAGAAAACGAGAGAACAGCGCAGAAGTTTGTATATAGCTTTTGTGGACTTCACTAAAGCGTTTGACACCGTCAATCGTGAGCTACTCTTTATCATCCTGAGTAAGCTGGGCTGCCCTGCAAAGATCATAAGAGTCACCAATAAGCTATATACGAACGTGCATGCAAGACTCATTGTAGATGGTAAACTCACACAGGCCTTTGAGTACAACAGTGGTGTCAAGCAGGGTTGTAAGCTGGCACCAACACTCTATGGCATCTATGCAGCTATTTTACTTTGTCTTGCTTATAAGGAAATTAAGCACACCTGCAGTGTAAAGGTCAGATTTCGTTATGATGGTGATCTATTTGATCGTCGAAGACTGAAGTCAAAGACCAAAGTTCTTATCGAGTACATCAGGGAGGCTCAATATGCAGACGATATAGCCATATTCAGTGACACTTCAGCGGGACTACAGTTGTTACTCACAGCTTACAACGACCTTGCTAAGAAGATGGGACTACGTATTAAAGGACAATTGAAGTCAAATTTTCTAGCTTCTGTAACGTTTTTATACAAA